TTGTGGCCTTGGTTAGTTCTTGGTGAACGTAGGTGCTAAGTAAGAGGAGGGTAGCCGCCTGTTTAGGCACAGGGTCGGCCAGGCCCTGATCATTTTTAGCTAAGTATAAGGGGGGTGGCTGTGTGCTTTGGAACCAGTCGGCCCTCTTCTATGGAGAGTAGCCGACTATATATCCAGACGGCATGCCCCTATGGTGATAGAGTAAAATATTCAATGGAGAGTAGCCGACTGTAAAGGTACAGGCGGCATGCCCCTCTGAAGATAGAGTAAAATACTCAATGGAGAGTAGCCGACTGTAAAGGTACAGACGGCATGCCCCTCTGAAGATAGAGTAAAATACTCAATGGAGAGTAGCCGACTGTAAAGGTACAGACGGCATGCCCCTCTGATGATAAAGTGAAATACTCAATGGAGAGTAGGCGACTGTAAATGTATAGGTGGCCTGCCCCTCTTAAGTAAGAATAAAAATTAAACATGGAGAGTAGCCGACTGTTTGTCAGTAGGCATGCCCCTCTTAAGTAAAAATGAAAACTGAGTATGGAGAGTAGCCGACTGTTTGTTAGTAGGCGTGCCCCTCTTAGTACAAAATTGAATATTAAGTATGCAAACTTTTATTAAGTAGCCCTTGACTATTTATATCATTCAAAAGAAATATTTCTTAAGATTATCTGCATTCCAAGTTCGAGGCAACGGTTGGCCGTCTGGTGTTTCCAGACGGTAGGTACCGTCCCTGACCTCTTCACCGATTCGGTATCCGAGAAATTTCCCAGACTCAACTCCAAAGAAACATTTCCTGGGATTGAACATGACATGGTGCCGCCTGAGTGTGGCGAAAGTTTCTCGGAGGTCCGACAGATGATCTTTCTGAAGTTTAGACTTGACAATCATATCATCAATATATGCCTCGACATTTCCCAATCTGATCAAAGAACACAGTGTTTATCATTCGCTGGAAAGTGGTCGGGGCATTCTTAAGACCAAACGGCATGACCGTGTAACAGTATAACCCCTGATCAGTGACGAAGGCCGTCTTCTCCTAATCTTTCTTCCATAAAGGAATTTGATGGAAACCAGAGTAGGCGTCCATAAAGCTCATCAAAGCATGGCCGGCTGTTGAGTCGACCAGGTTATCAATTTTAGGCAGAGGGTAACTGTCTTTGGGGCACGCCTTGTTTAAGTCTGTGTAGTCTACACACATTCGCCAGGTGCCATTCGGCTTTTTAACAAGCACCACATTTGCAACCCAGTCTGGGAAGTAACATTACCGAATGAACCCTGCATCAAGTAATTTTTTAACTTCGGCGACTGCCGCCTGACTTCTTTCTTCGCCATGGTTCCGCTTCTTCTGTCGTACCGGCTTCTTTTTCGAATCCACGGCCAGTTTATGTACCGCCAGATCAGGACTAATGCCTGGCATTTCATGGACTTCGAATGCAAAGATGTCCTTGTATTCTTTCAATAGTTTGTGCAAGTCGTCACCCAGGTCCCTTAGAGCAGTCGTCCCAACCTTGATTGTTCTGTCAGGACGCGAGTCATCTAAGATCAGGTCCGTATGCTCACCAGCTGGCTGAGGGCGGAATTCATCCGACCGCTCCTCTGCCAATGATTGCTATTTTCTGTCTTTTCTTGCGGCCCCTGTCTGGGATGCCTTTCTCTTCTTGCCCCTGCTTCTTGAACAGGCGCACTCTCCTTAACATTGTCAAGGTCTATTTTTTTTACCTCTCGACCCAGTGGCCATAACAGTGGGCTTGACATCTGAGAGATAGCACTCTCGGGCCATCCTCTGATCTCCCCTTAGGGACCCGACTGTTCCATTATCCCTCTCAAACTTGAGCAACATAAGAGATGGGATTATAACAGCCTTGGAATTATTCAGGGTTGGTCGTCCCAGAATCATGTTGTAGGCCGAGAGTTCTTCTACTACCAGGAACCGGACTACCATGTGTCGTCCTTCCCCTTTTTCGCCCAGGCGGATGGGTAAATCCACTCGTCCCACTGGGTGGACGACTCCTCCTCCAAACCCTACTAAAGGGTGGGATGCTGGATGTATGCAATCAGTCTGATATTTTAGTTTCGACAGACATTTGCTACTGATGAGATTTGAGGAGCTTCCGGTATCTATGAGGATTCGGCCAACTCTCTGGTTAGCCACTTTACATTCAATAACGATAGGGTCGTCATGCGGCCCTCTTACCCCTCCTAGATCTTCTTCAGTGATGACAATCTCAGGAAATGAATATTTGGAGGGTCGTTCTTGGTGAACGGAATTTACATCTAACCGTCTGATATTGTCTTTGTTGCCCCTAATAGTGGGGCCGCCTCCTGAGAAGCCGCCTACAATGGTGTAGACGACTGCATCATCTGTATCGGAGCTGTCGGCCTGGTGATTCTTTTTGGTCCACTGCTTTTTCGAGGAAGTGTTCCCCGTAGATTTCTTGACATAAGTGTCAAGGTCACCTTGCTCAGCCAGGCGGTCCAGATACCGCATGAGACTGATGCATTCATTGGTGTGATGACCAACATCTTCATGATAATCACAGAATTTTTCTTGGTTTCGATTGTTTGCAGAACCCTTCATGGGGACCGGCTTCTCAATTGAGATCCGTCGCTTGATTTCCTTTAGGATAAATTGGCTATCCTTGTTAAACACATACTTTGGGGAGTATGGTTTGAATTCTTTTTTCTTCTTCTGGGACGACTGTTTAGAGGAAACAGTTGCCCAGACCTCTTTTCTCTTCTCGTCTTTGTTTGACGACTGCTTTTGTCGTCCTTCTCTTTTGTCGGACCTTTTCCCGTCTGACTGTTTTACCGTACTACAAAGATCAGTCGCCTGTATATAGGCTTCCGCTTCAATCAAGGCCTCTTGAAGAGTCGCCACCCTCTTTCGGACCAAATCAAATTTGAAGGTCGACCCGTCTTTGAGACCTCTGAAAAAGTCAGTATAGGCTACTTCATCCGGTAACCCTTGAATCTGTATTCTCATCAGGTTAAACCGCCTGATGTAAGACCGAAGCCCCTCCTTCTCGCCCTGCTGAATTGTTCCTAAATCAAGGGTCGTCTTCTTCGCAGGGATGTTCATGGCGAAGTTGGAGGTGAATAAGTAAGCAAGCGTCTTTAAGTTATTTACACAACCAGTCGGCAAGTTGTCGAACCATTGTTGTGCGATTCCTTTGAGAGTCGCTGGGAAACACTTGCACCAAGTGGGATCATCCAACCCTTGAAGGTACATCAGGTTGGTGAATGCCATCAGATGGTCTTCTGGGTTAGTAGTGCCGTCATAGGCGCCTACTAATACATTTTTCACTTTGGCCGGCTGAGCGGCTTCAGTAATTTCCTTAGAGAAGGCCGACGGCTGTTCACCAAGTCTAAGCAACCGTAGCTGCCAGTCCATAGGTTGGACATTTTTTGCTGCATGTCCACCAAACGGAGGTGGCTGTAAAAAATACTGTTGTTGCGGTACAAACGGTAAGTTTGGTACCGCCTGGTCGCTATGAAAGCCGGACTGACGGGAGGTGCCGCCTGACTGACTCTCATGATACGACTGAGTATGCCTCATCGAGGTATTTCGCAGACTGTCTTGGAAGTATGAAGTAGAGGCCGACTCTGACAATCGGTCACTCTTCTTCTGCTCTAGTAGTAGCCGAGCGTCTGTGTATGTTTTCCTCGACCCGTCCGCCTGAATATGACGAACAGGTTTCCTATTTCCTGGAGTAGGAAAACGGTATTTTGTGAAATCAAGGGCAGGTGGCTCCCACTTCCTAGATTTAGGATGAGGGGTCGTCTCTCGCCCTTGAACTGACTTCCTCTTCCGTGAAGTGGAGGGTTTTTTAGCCGACTGCTCCTTGTCCAGAGCAGGTGGCTTCTTGTTGATCAACTCTTGAATTTCTCCCTTGAAGTCCCTCATGAAGGTCATGAGTTCGTCCCTTGTGATGGGAGCAGACCCATCAGTCGGCTGCTGCCGAACAGGCGGTGCGCCTGCTGGCTCGCTTCCAGTTTGAAGATGTTCTCGTTCCCTCCTTTCGGTATGACGGGTACGCCGGGCCCTTAGGGTCCCGTCTGAAGCTGTGTGAGCTTCAACTTCAAATTCATTCTCAGTATCGCGGTCCGACTGAACTAGAGGATCGTCCAGGGGACGTCTCTCTTCAGGAGCCGGTACAAACGTGGGTGCCATCTCAGAAGTACTCTCCCCACAGACGGCGCCAAAATGTTTCGGGGTTTTCTGATGTCCTGCGGGAGAGTTACAATTCCGAGACTGGAACCGGACGCCTGTACCTGCAAAACAAACGGATGCTCCGGATGGTTGGAGTCCGCCTCCAACGGTCAAGTTAGTACTTGATTAAGGAGTAATTAATGCGGAAATTAAAGTGATTGGGTCTCTCTAGGTGAGAGTGTTTAATGTGTGTAATCTGCGTTTTTTTTTTGCGTCCCCTCCCTTAATGAGGATTAAGGGAGGTATTTATAACCTCGGGAAACGTGCCAATCTAGGTTTAGGTTAACCTTGGGCTGATTGGGCTTCCCTCGGAAGTTGGGCCTAGGTGACCGGCTTCTCCATTAGGCATGGAGTATGCCACGTGTCATGACATAATAAGTCCAGGGTGGCCGAATAAGCGTGTGCCACGTGGCAAGCCCTGAGAGGTCCAACTGGGGGACACTTGGCAGGACCTGATTGGCCCACGTGGCGCATTCCGATTGGTGGGAGCAAAATCCCCTAATCAATAATAATAATAAAAATTAAATTAAATTTAAAAAAAAAAAAAAAGATTTGAAATTATGCTCCGTAATAAAGATTGAAAAACCGTGCATGACACGGAATCTAACCTACTAAATTCATTATTTTGCTCTTGTTCGGAATCTTAGTGAACTCCAATGAAAATAAAATCTAATACTATCCTGCTATATCACCTATATGTACAAGTAAAACGTGTTCATGTGGGAGCTTTTTTTTATTCAGTAAGATGTGTGCATTGAAATTTATGAAGTAAAAAAACATGAACTCGAGGGGAAAACAAAACACACGACACAATAGATCAATCTGCAAATGAACAAATCACTTGGATAAGTTCTTTTTGTATAAGCAAAGAATTATTAAGCTCAAAACAATTAAGAAAAACTACTCCATTAGCTAATGAAGATATGCATGTCATGGAGCAAATGCTTTAGCTATCGGATACACCTAGCTGAACTAATAGTAGCAGAAGAAAAAGATATTTAACCCCCTTAAAGGTTTGGCATGCCCTCTCCAGATTTATAATCATAAGTCTTTTCCAGCACGTAATCCATTGGGGTATCCTTAGGACCAGCTGCAAGAGAAAGAATTGTGTAAGCGAGCAAGCACAGTATAAGCCCTTGAATATCACAAGCTCTTGATGGGAATAATGATGAATTACTTGCAGTAAGTATTGCAACCTTTAGGAAAAGTGAAATACATTATTCATATTAGCACTAAATCAATTAAGGGGGCAAAGAGCCTGATGTAACAGAAACGATTGAATAAATGCAACACACCAAATGCTAAATCCAGCCTTCTACAGTATGCTTATCTATAGAATCTCTATGCTTAGAAAAACTAGACCATTTAGCTAGTACTACCTCAGTGAATAATAAACTTCATACAATGTTTACAAGTGCATCTCAAGAAAATTATTGTGCAAGCAAGGAATTGAACCCTCACGAAACCCATTACTATAATTTGAGAAGTTGATTTTAATAGTGTTGAGCAAAACAAGTGAGGGCAGCATTAAAATGTTGCCAATATTGTTTTGCCAACAAGAGTTATTTTTGGATAAGATTGACCGTCTTGATATATACTCTCTTCAAAAGAGGAGCACGGAGTAGTATGTTCTGTAGGTTTTGCCTAGTAAGAGTTGTTTGGACAACATAACTTAATACCTACATTGATGCTATGGAGCGGAGCTTGGTCTTTGATTCAAAACTTATGACTACATCTAATCCAGGCACTATTCACTCTCACATTTGCAATTATATTCTTTTGCTACTCTATAACCCAACAAGATCATATTTAAGAATATTTTCACTTCGTAAATCATGCTAACTCATTGGAATTCTTTATAACAATTACTGGCTCTAAGTCTCTGCTTTCCTACAAGAAAACCCTGGAAAGTTTTTTAAATCACAAGTCCTAATATTAGCTTATTAGCCAGTATTTTAACTCATTTTAGTTGTGAATTGAACTCATAGGCCCTTAGCCCCTTATCCGAACTAAAATGAAGCCATAATATGACGTTAATGATACTGAAACCTTTTACTCCCAAAATGAAAAGAACATAGCCTTTCTTGATCTAATTACATAATAAAAAGTTCTAAACTTGACCCCAATTTTCTATTAATTCAAAGAAAAAAAATACCACAGCAAACCATCTACTACCTCTCTTTCATATTAATTGACCACATTTGAATTTTTTGGAAAAAAAATCTGTCAACCTTGGCTAGTAATTTAGTAACCTATCAATCACTACAACATAATGTATCAAATAGGGCGACTAAATCCCTTCAAACAAGGCGACTTTAAAATGCCGTTGTAATTACTTCGGAAAATGGCGACCCTGAGTCGCCGTTTTAGATTTTATCAAAAAGGGCGAGTTGCAAGTTAGTCGCCCTATTTTACCGGACCCAATAATTAAAAGGGCATATCCATACTACTTGCCACCTTTGAGCCCAAAAAAATTAAACCCGCGCCTTAACCCCAAAATTTTCCAATCTCCCTCCCTTTTAAATTCTAGTACATTCTACCCTAAATTGAATTGTTGTCTAAAATAGTAAAACCCCTTAATTTCCTTTAACACTCTACTTCTCTCCATTTGCATCTGCTCCTTCTCTCTCCATTCTCATCAGCTCCCTCTTTCTCCTCCATTGTAGATTGTTGAAGCCCAAGAAGCTCGCAATTTATCTCTTCAATTTCGTTGACTTGGTGTCACAGTACACAGGAAGGTAAATTTTTATGAAATTAATATTTTCTTTCTTCAATTATATCTTTTTTCGTTTTTTTTTTTTTTCTCTGTTTGTGGATCTTGATTTTGTTGCTAGGTAATAGCTAGATAACAAGACTATAGAAATTGGCAAGAATGTACTACCAAAGTGAGCTTGTGTTGTAATGACGTAATTCGAAAATTACAATGTCGTAATCGATTATAAGGTCTAAAATAGTAAATTGTTGACAAATTACATATTTTTGTAACAATTCAAGTGATTATGTACTAGTTTTGATAGCTTTTTGTATAAATTTCTATACTTAGCTTGTTCAATTGTCTAAGATTTTGTTTGAATTTGGGTTTTAAAATGTATTAGGTAATTTGGGATTATGGAAAGAAAGTTTAATTTTGATGTATTACAGTAATGACAGAGAAGAAATTAGCAACTTCTGCATTTGATTTTGTGGGTAAAAGTCAGAGAAAAAAATAACTCCATCTATAAATAATGGAAGAAGAAGACAATAGTTCTTAAACTGATACTACTGTAGCATATTGGGTTGCGTTCCACTAAATGCAAGCATATCCTAAATAATATGAGATTTTTAGATATTTAGATTCTTGGTGAAGTATGTTAAACCTTAAGTTTCATTTAGGTCTTACATTTATGCGTTGAGATGGATAGTGATTGAAGTTGGATGCATATTAAAGGTATACGAGGTAGGCAGAGAGAGAGAAGAATATACAAAGGGTGTGAATGAGTTTCTTGAATTTGCTTTTAAAGATGTCCACCAAAACTCGGATACAAAGATTTGGTGTCCTTGTTCAGATTGTATAAATAATTTATTTCAAGATCAACAAACAATGAGGAGACACCTTTTCCAATATGGAATTGATCCCGGGTACAATAATCCTTGGACATACCACGGGGAAGGGAATTCTGAAATGGTGTTGATGCTAGTTTTATTTTGATGATTTTGGTGAGGTTGACATTGATGATCCTTTGATATCTGTCCAAGAAATACTTGATGAATAATGATGATGATGAAGTGTAGGTTTAATTTCATGGACTCGGAGACTCAAGATTTCCAACAACTTTTCATTATTATCTTGCAATTTTTATAAGGATTATATGCCTATACACCCATAATTAAGTATCTAATTGTATAACATCATTGTGTAGTTTGATTCACGTGGACAAACTCCTGACTTGGCAAAAACAATTACACAACCAGGTTTATTTTTTTTTTCCTTTCTGTGATTCACCAAATTGGAATAAATAATTGCATAATAATTGGTGTTTTATTTCTTGTTGCAGACCCTACCAAATCTCCAAGAACTCCACTAAAAGCATAAGAAACTTCACAGGTTAAATTTATTTGACTTTGGTTCTTTTATTTCTTCTCAAATATTAATCATGAACATGATATCCAATTATGTTGTGTACTTCATAGTCCCTTTATTGTTGTATCTAATACTTGATATCCAATTAATGTATATCATGAATCTGATACCCAATTGTTTTTGTTATTTTAAAGTCATAGGAAAGTAAATATGCCCCCATCTTATTATCTTGGTTGATGGAAGCCGTTGGAGTTGATTTTTTTGGTCAGGCTTCAATGGATATGGGAACCTCCTCAAAATGTGATCATCATTTAATGTTATTTTGGAGACTTCATGATTACAATTTTTTGTAAATTACTAAGCTAATATAATTTTGTACTAAGTTGGGGTGTTGCTTATGCTAACAACATTCACATTAATGATTTGTTTCTTTTGAATTATCAATGATATTGAAATTTATATAGGTATTAAATATTTAATGTAATCGTGGATTAATTTAAGTACATGAACAATGTTTGTATAATTCAAAAAACTAAGAATAATATTGATGTGTAACTTAACCTAATTGCCCTATTTTGACGAGTCAAAGGAGGCAAGAGGAGTCGCCCTAATAGCCACAACATGTACAAAGGCAAGAACCATCGCCCTTTTTGAGGGGGTCGAATGTGGCAACAACACTCGCCCTATTTGATTCACATCAAAGAAGGCAAGTTATAATCGCCCTTTTTTTATCATCAGCAAAGAAGGCGACTTCAAAACTCGCCCTTTTTTATCTAAGGCGACGGACATAATATGTCGAATTTAAGGGCGACTAAAAATCGCCCTTTTAGATCAACTAGGGCCATTTTTTGACCAACTAGGGCGATTTAACACGCCCTTTTAGAGATGATTTGTTGTAGTGAATGCTTGCATGTACTTTAATATTTTTAATATCATTGCTGAATTTGTTTCAAATGCTACCTTTGCAACATTTACAGCGTGTCTAATGATATGGTGATTAAAAGTAAAGTTCAAAGCTAAAAAACATTAGACCATAATGTTTAATGCTGCCTAAAACTTTGAGATAGTGTGGATATAGATTATCAGACAGCAAGAAATAGCAGAATGTAAGAATCAGGTACATACGAGCAGTAGGCCTTGGTGTGGTCCTTATCTTCAAAATTTCAGGGCGAGGGATTATGGACCCTGATGCTCCTATACCTCTTGCAATTCTGACTTTTCCACCATCCTCTAGATATCTAATTCCTACCTTGCAAGGTTTTCTGCAGAAGAGAGCATGATCCCATAAAGTTATATTGGAATCTGTTATATACAGATACAGAATATTCAGTAAGTTATTTGACAGATATGAGCAGTTGACTATACCCAGTAACCGGATCAACAACTTGCACATTTGAGACATGCAGTGGGGCTTCAACTGTAAAAATACCACCTTCGTGCCCTTGCCCTTGTTTGATATGTTTTTTGACCTGGGAAGACAAAACAAAAGAAGACATGAGCAGTATACTATACCGGGCAGACTATCAAAAAAACCTGAACAAACAGCAACATAAAAAGTACATTTCAATTTCAATCACATGCATAAAAGTGATAATGGACATCCACATTCAGTATGTTCAATCCATTCAGAAGAGCTTAACCCTATCAGATCAGCACATGTATAATTCAGATTGAAGCCTGAAACTCAATTGAATTTTATTTGAATTAGTAATAGTCAAACAGCACAAAAACTTCGTATAGCTAAAGTATCAAAATCCTCATCAAACCAAGTCCACCGCGCAAAGAATCTTAGCACTAGCTTACAAGGAACAGAACAGAGAAATATGCCAAGCAGATTATACTGAGATTAAAGAAGCAAGAAAAAATAAACACTCTTGCTGAACATTCATCAAAAGATGAAAGAGCTAAACAATAAATTTTGAAGCATGATATACTAACCACAGCATATACCCAACAGATCTAGATGCTGTAAGTGAAATTATGTTCTTTTCCCCTTCCATGGAGGAACTGATGATCTAATTACTGCTCACTAAAGACTATAAAAACTCACTATACCAATAGTCATATGCAAACACAATGCCTTTTTTAAAAAAATATATATAAAAATAAAAAGCTGATGTTGAACATTCATCATATGAGAGCACAAAAATAAAGTCAGAAACATTTTACACTAACAAGTAACAACAGTATGACGACAATAGGTCAAGAAGTGCAAGGAATATTAGCACACATATACTTAAGAAGAGAATTTTTATCAACAACCATTCAATCTTGTTGGAACGTCAAAGAAGCTGTGTATGTCAAAGGCAGAATACAAATTCTAAATTAATATGAGCCAATCAATTCAGCGAGGTTCACAAAGCAACATAAATGTGTTAATTCAGCTTGAGACTTAGATAACCAAGATGAAAAAGGCAAAAAATCATGCCAGAAAAATTGTTCATGGAGAATACATTGGATAACTAACCAAATTTCATTACTATTGTAAAGCAAAGCATTACTTGAACAATTAGATATTTAGATTAGTATCCGTATCACCAATTTGAGACCCAGGGTTGGGGGAAGGTGGTTGGTTTAGGACCTAAATTGTTAAAACGGGAAAAAAAATGCTAATCACATTAATTGAGTCCGAGGCTGAAATTATCTTGAAAATTCTGTAGTGTACTAGTCTTTGAGGTGTAGCACTATTCTAAACTACTTCGTATTTTACTGTTAAGATGGTGGAGGCTTTTCACATGTATATCCTACATTATGAAGAAATTATGGCAGCTTGATGTACCTCAGGTATAGATCTTTTTGTGAAAGGCATGCAAAGAAATCATTCCACCAAGTGCTAATGCTCAAAATGCAAGGAATATGTGGAGACTAAGTGAAGGATTTATGTCTTTGTCATGTGCAATTACTAGATATATCAATGGATCAAATTATGGAGATAATTAAGTTCGGACATTTGGGTTGTCGTTTTATCATAGCTAGAGGTACTAACGATCTTTGGGCTAGTAAAATAGCTCAAAGCCCAATTGGGCGGATCCTATAAGGTCACACAAAGGGTCTAGATCGGGCACGAGAGGACAAGGCCCATGATGGGCCTCATCCTCTAGTATGGCCGGCCATATGGAGTGGGATAAGAGAGTTTGGGCTTCCTAACCCTAGTCTAATTATAATGTGATTATGAATAGACTAGGTGCCTAGAGTTTGCTAGTGGTATGCAATTAACTAATCAGTGAGATCAAACCCTAAATAGCAAACACGAGACCAACCCCTCTTATACTCCTCTCTCTCACGGCTCTCTCTCTCCTCCTCGACAGTGTGGTGGTTCGTGGTGGTAGATCGTGGTGGTCGGCTTAGTCCATTAAAGGTGGTGATCGCGATTTTCCTCAATTACTCGACCAATCTAGTATTGGTGGACGGCTCGTTCGAAGCTCGTGGACTAAGTAGAGGAGCAACGCTTGGGGCTCTATTCTCTCCCTGATTTGCCATGTCAAATTGCTACGTGGAAATGAATTCACGCTTCAAAGCTATAATTATGTGTCTTGTGTGTTATGCATGTGATCTTGGGATTAGGTACTTTTATAGTTTTATGAATATGATTCATGATTTTCCGCTGCGTAGTACCTAAACTCCTACACTAAGTTCAGTACAATTTTTCAAATAAAAAAAAAATAGAAAAGAAAAGTCCAGTGCGACAGTGAAATGCCCATAGGCTACAAAGGTCTAGCCTAAGAAGCGATGGGAACGGAAATAGACAGGAAAGTGGGGATGCTCAATAAAATAAGCAACTATTTGAATTTATCATTCAAGAAAAAACATGGTCAGTGATGCAATAGTTGAATATGGTAGCTGGGGTCATTACTGAAGACATCAAAAATACGTGAGTAACATGACACAAGGAAATTAGAAGAGAGAATGGAGATATTGCTAATTAAGCCGTCAATTACTTGAAGTCTAAACAGGAGACAGCTAGACAAGATATACTCCTTAAATTGCAGCAATGGTTTAACAAATGAGATGGAATCCTCTTCTAAACATAATTTTAAAAATCAATGTCACCAGCATAGTTCATGGTAAATGCCTAAATGGGGATCAGGTTTGTTTGTCATAATAAGGGAAGTTGATGAAGTTAGAGGCAATGAGATTCTGATATCATAAAACCATGGAAGCTGAATATGTCCTCAACTTGTGAGACAACAAGTAAATAATAACATGATCATAGACAGGATACACTCCAATAGGTCAATAATTCAATACGATTGTTTTAGTGCTCATAACATAATCTTCAAATTCATAAAGCATCATTTTATATCTTTTTGACATGTCTATAGGGGATGGTAACCAAAATCCCTATTTGCTTGACAAATACAACCATCATACACACCCTCTCTCTTGGAAAATGAAAAGCCAACAAAGTGCTCCACCTTTGACGAATTGGATTTAATGGGAAGGAACTCGTGTATCAATAACTTTGATTTTCATCATTTTACCTACACTACACTCTATTAATGGGGGTAGAAGTACTGAACAACATTCAAGAATACTGAATGTCTCTGCATAAATTTTTTGACACTCCACTCTAGCACTGCATAAACTTTGACACTCCACTCTAGCACTGCATAAACTTGTTGACAGTTGACACTCCACTAATGTAAAGTATTGACAATTGAGTGATTGCATTCTCTTTCGTTTATCTTTTCATTTTTTTCTACTTCTATTCTTTTTTTGTTTTATTTCATTATTCTTTTATCAATAGTTTTCTCTTTTTTTTTTTTAGATCGGCACCTTTTTTTATTAGTCATGCATGTATACCCCACTATTTTCTTTAGTATGATATAATTCTATTTTTATTTTTGTAAATGCAAATTTTTATCTCATTTTGCAATTTGATAGTTATTATAAATAAATATAATGTTAAATAAATAAATAGTGAAAATTACCGTGCATGCATGGTACAAGACCTAATCTAGTTTGATATATAAATTAAAGTTGAGTCTTACCATTAGAGTTGTCAAACGGGTTGTGTTGTGTTAAGTTCGAGTTCATGTTCGTGTCAATGTTAAACGGGTTGACAAATTCTTGACCCAAAAAATAAACGGGTTGAAAACCCTTGACCTTAACCTAACCCATTTATAATAATTATTAAATTGCAAAATGAGATAAAAATTTATAATTACAAATATAAAAATAAAATTATATTATAACAGTGGGAGTATACATGCACGACGGATAAAAAATGGTGTTTTTTAGAAAAAAAAAAAGAAAAATATTGATAAAAGAATTTGAGGAAAAAAAAAACAAAAAGATCAGAAGTAGAAAAAATGAAAATATAAAAGAAAGAGAATGTCAATCACTCAATTGTCAATACTCAACTTTAGTAGAGTGTTCTACTGGAGTGTTAAAAAATTTATGCAGTGCACAAACATTCAGTAGTCTTCAATGTTGTTCAATACTTCTACAATTAATAGAGTGTAGTGTAGGTAAATTGATGAAAATTAAAGTTATTAATACACGTGTTCCTTCCCATTAAATCCCGTATATTTATCAAGTAACTCCAATTAATCAATATGATTAACAAAAATGCGCTCATTTAAAATTTATAATGAAATCTCAATTACTAAAATCAATCCATAAATACAAGACTAAAAATCTATATTGAGTCGTTCTTAAACTATAAGCCACTTATACCCCTTGGACTTCAACATTAACAGTATGTTTGGATAAAGAAATATGAAGGAAAGAAGGGGAGGGAGGAAAAGAGGAGGAGAGGAAAGAATGGTGAGTTTTCCTTTCAAATCTCTCCATTGTTGGAGGGATCAATTTCCTACAATTTAATCCCTCCATTTCTCTCCCCTCCAATTCCCTTCCTTCCTCTTCTATTATCCAAATTAAAGATTCCTCATCTCTCTATTTCCCTTACCTTCCTTTCCCCTCTATTTCCTTCAATCCAAACACACTGCCACACCGGTAAGCTTGATATGATGGGGCCCTTTGTCTCTATTCAAAATATAATGGCATCTATCTTGTTCCTTTGAATAAAAAACTTTCCAATCTTCCCTAAAAAAGACAGCACGACAGAATTTCATGATTGTCATCTACCTCCATGTTCAAATGGATCAGTCAAGATGTAAACTAGTTTTTCTTAAGTTTCGATAATGCTTATGGAACCATACTACAGTAAAAAAAGTAGTGACTCATGACAGACTAACCTCTATCGCAAACAAGCAACCACTACTTCAATTTTCAATCACTCTGCCAGTTCACATTAGCAACATTACGAGTACAATTATTTAGCTAGACATAAACGCAGGCTCAATCTCTTTGAAATGCAACATTTACCGAAACTATAATCCAATCTACGAACCATAAATGAAGGTTCAATACACACAAACGAAGGTTCAGTATTCAGTCCTTCCAAATAAAGCAACATTTAAAAAACTCCATTTCTTCTAAATTCATAAACAATAATTCTTACAAGGTTTTTTCCCTCGACAATGACACGATTTTGAGACCGAATCACCCGCTTAATGGTGCCGGTTTCACCTCTATCTTTGCCTCTGATAATCATCACCTGAAAAAATAAAAATAATAAAATAAAATAAAAATAAAAATTAACTCAAAAAATAAAATTATGAAATTTTACAAAAAAAAACAGAATTAGGGTTTAAAAAATATCCCAATAATTTTGGGCACTTACATTATCACCTCGAAGAATCTTCCAATTCCTTATAAGTTTTTGAGCTGCCTTCCATCCCATCCTCGATCAAACAAAAACCCTAATAAAAATACATAGAAATTTGCTGTAAATTTGAATTGAAATTGATATTTGATGATTTGAAATTGTGAAGAAAAAAAAAACATCTTACTTTAGAAGGTGCTTTAACGGAGGAGTGAGAAAGGTCAAAAGCCGCTTCAATGGAGAATTCAGGTAATGCACTTCAATGGAGGAAAGAGAAAGGAGGTGCAGTGTAAAAGAGTTGAGCTCCAAAGGAGATGGAAAAATGTTAACGAAGGAGGAAGATTAATCATGCATATACGGAGTAATGTCGGTCGTTGGATCTGAATAATATCAACGGTTGTAATTTTTTTTGGATCGTTTTTGGTTTTTATTTTTATTTTATTTTTTTTTTATGAAAACAAAAAAAAATAAAGGGTTTTTCTAAGCTATACCCCTAAGGTAGTCGAGTTTCTAAGGTGTACCCATGTTTTTTCAAATTTCTAAGTTGTGCCCCTCAACTCACTACCATTAATGAATGGTACCCTCCTTGGGACTTCCACGTCACCTAAAGTTAACTATAAATTTAATAAAAAGATGATAAAAGGTAAGGAAATGATACGAGAAAGAAATCCTAACCACAACCACCCTAATAACGAAAACTAAAGCCACGAAATCACACTCTCAATTAACTTATAAATAACTAATAAGGGTACATTTTAGTATTGATAGGAAGTTGAAGGACACGGCTTAGAAACTTGAAAAAGCATGTGTACACCTTAGAAACTCAACTACCTTAGGGGTATAGCTTAGAAAAACCCAAAAATAAAAAATAGGAAACAAGCTAAGGCCCCGTTCTTTAGAGTTGTTCTGCTCTGTTGAGCCCTATGTTCTAGAACTAGGGTTTATTGTTTTTTAAGCAAACCCTAGTTATATTGTATGTATTTATATATATCCCCACTCTATGGAATCTATCTATTTATATATTATACTAAAAGACAAGCGCCTTAATGTGAGGATGACAAATGTCACTCTCTCATTGGCTTATCTTAAGTATAAAACATATCTATATAATTACTGTTTACATATTCAAGCATAGTTATTTTTGTTAAACTTCAAACAATAAAAGCAAGTTTCTATCCATGTATAAGATTTTCATGATTTCCTAACATAAATATTGATTTAATTTTTTTATAATAAATATATACTTTCCAATACTACAAATAATCCATAAAGTCTATCCAATCTTTATTTATAGTCAATTTAAGAATAATAACTAATTTGAAACAATATGATTATAGTGGTATAATTAAAGAAACAAATATTTCGTATTTTGAAAGGCTAATATTGTTTTTTTTTATGAAAATTAAATAAAATAGATAGAATTTAGTTTGACGTCAATTATGAAATCAATACAAACATTTAAAAAAATCAGATGTACAATAAAATATTGTGCACCTATTATAAAAGCTACCCTGTAATGAATGAAAGTTATTTATGCTTTATTGATAAAAGTTACCCAAAATAGTCTACAAGTTATCCTAAATTCAATTCAAGTAATCGGTTAAATACAAAAGTTTTTGATAAAGATACAAAATAGTGTAAAAATTACTTTTATCGTTTGTTGTACTCCTTGACAAATACTTAATGCTGAGCCGAAATGTTGTCTTGGAAAAAAATACATAATCTTGAACAAAAATTTAATTTTAATCGGCCTTTCATTTTCTATACAATGTCTTTTACACTGACATTTTGTTTTTCTTCCAATTAAAAAAAAAAAAAAAAAAAAAAAAAAAAAAAAAAAAAAAAAAAACTGAACCAATAACCAATCTAAACAAGAAGAATAAATGTTAAATTGAATTAGACATTTGACAGAAAAAGGATAGATATAAAATGTATTATAACTATTACTCGTGTTTTAAATTGTAATATTCGTATTAACAATGCTATTACTTATGAATTTTTTTTAGAAAAACTAACATTTTAATTTAAAAATCATGCATTGCTCATGTACAATACTAGATATACAACAATCATGTGCAATAATTTATGTTGTTTTATACATAATAATAATTTTAACTATAATAATATGTGTATATAATATAATATTTTTTATAATATAAAAAAGTATATGTATATAATATAATATTTTATAACACGTGTCCTCCATACCAAGTGTTTGGTTGTTGGTGTAGTGGTGATTGAGACTACACTTGGAAAGGAGGACCTGTGTTTGCTGCTCTGCAACAACAATCGGAAGGGAAGTGGAACCTAATAGCCTAGAACAGATCCTCAAATCTAGATAAGCCCAAAGGGTGAACCGGATAGAACACCCAAAACTCAATGCATATATGACGGGAATTAACTTATCCTTTATCTATCTTATACCAAACTCCAAAGTCTAATTTTTTTTTCAAAATATAATTATAACATTTGTAAATTTTTGTTAATATGAAAGATATAAACCTATCAAAATGTATATATAGTTAAATTGTTTAATAACTTATATCGAATGCGTAGTTTTATTAAAATTATTTGCATATAATCATTAAATGTGTTGGATGTTGTGTAGCTATGCAATGTCCAAAACTTTAGTTGAGCGACTTTGATTTAGTGATTGTACTGCAAAAAGATATTGACTTCGATCTTGAAACCTAATAGTCTAATAAATTCTAAATAGAAAAATTAAAACAAAAGGAAATGAAAATAGTAAATGGCTTTAAATATTGAAATAAACATAACCTTTTAAATCAATTTAGCGAATTCAAGAGACAATTTTAAGGCTTTTAAAATTAAATGGGGGAAAATATATGTAAAAAGAACATTTTTAGATATATAAATGTCCATGCACTATTATAAGAGTTTTGTTAACCATTTTATAATTAAGGTAGAGATAAATCTTAGTAATATATACTCCGTATATTTTATTTATATATCAGTATCCTTACCTATATACGAAGTATTTGTGTTGTATATTAAATTTAATTTAATCAGCTGTTGGTTATATACATGACTATTATATAATATATAGTTTTGGGCACAATGCTTAACTTAGGAAAATATATGTTCTGGTAGGTCAAATATAAGGTTATTATTGTGTCTATAGATTTAATGAGTGCGACGGGTAAATAAAACATGTATATATTAGATTGATTGTAGCTACTGATGCGGATGGTATGATAAGAAAATTTTAGTTTTTTTTTCAACGAGAGATATAAATAAATTAGTTCACTTCTTATATAGCTATGTGGAGTATTATTCAATTATTTTTCAATTAATAAAATAACATTATAAAAAATTAAAAGAAATTCAAATAACATAGAATACTATTCAAATAACATTCCTTTAATTTTTTTTTATTGACCATTAGTAACCAAGTCCTTTAATAGTAAATGAATTTCCTTTGTTTTTAATTTTAATTTTCCTACGGGTTTAATAATTTGATTTATAAACCGTGCATCGCACGGGCACTATGCTAGTAAAATAGACTAATCTATTCTCTCCTTTACTGAAATAAATAGTATGAAATTTATCATGAAATCATCACCTTTTATGTTAAGATTGAACTATATTCTGATTTATTATACATGTACGTGTTTTCCATAAGGCAAACTATATATGGTATGCGCCACTTGTTGAAGTTGTGGTATATAGTGTTAGTGATGCTTGCTTTTATCAAAATAAATGATTAAATAGTTTGTATAATCTTCTTATATGCATGATGAAGAACACAATTTGGTACCTTGCATGCGCCAAAGAGGTTGCAAAATGTTAACAGCCTAACACCATGTGTGTGTATATATATATATATATATATATGATTCCATGATTTTTATGCTTGATTATTTCTACCTTAGCTTATATATTATTGTACATGCTTGATTTAGGATTATCATTGCTACCTTTTTATAATAAAGCATTATTGGATGATGGTGGACATATATATTGTCCAAAGTTTTTTATGTTTCGTATTTTTACTCTTATATTGTCCAATGTTTGATGTTTCGTATTTTTACTCTTATATGCGTATGGTATGGTATATTGGAGTCGGTTGAATTATGACGTTCAATTCTTATGAGCATTGAATTGTGCCTTTTCTATTCCATAAGTAGTAATGAGAAGACACTTAAAATATTATTTCATATGAAGATTGATATCATTATTTGTTAGTAGTGTTTGAAGTTAAATTTTAATTGTTAGTGGTAATGGTTGCCTTTGAGATTAATTAAATGTTGAATATATGGACAATTGAAATAGAGTATCCATTATAATTCTCTTTTATAGGTTAAATAATTATCTTAAAAAACTTCCTCCTTATTTAAAGCATACATGCTAGTTTTCTAGTACAATAGAAATAAACTTGTATTAGTCGTGGAGTACGTAAATGTAGATATTAATTGTGTTACATATTTAAATTTAGGAGTCTAAACTATCTTGATTGAATCAAGTGATTATTCTATCATGTTAATACTGTCTTTGGTAGAATATAGTGAACCAGTCAAGTTGTGTAGCAAAGTACCAAATAGTACTATTTTATTAAAATAAAAGAAAGAGTCATAATTAGGAAGGTAATTTTTTTATATGGTTCTGAAGCTCTTTAAATTATGAAGAGTCAAAAACTCTCCAAAATAACATGAAGATACGTATATGCCTTTAAATTACTATTAGTTTGTAAAGTATGTTGCTTAAATTATCTACCATTCCCAACACTAATGTGGTTTTATAAGCACTATGTCATAAGAGAATATACAAAAGATTTTGTATAATATTCTATCTGCATATCCAACTCAAGGTGAGAATTGATAATTCACATATTACATGATTTATTTACCCTTAGAAGTGAATAGGAAGTTGTGGGATTAATAGGATATATAACAAGTATGTTTGTATGATAATTTCTTGATTATATGAAAAGTTTATAAGAATATCTATTTGAACAAGAAATAGTGATTAAGTTAAAGAAATTAAGCATGACATTATGAGTTTCATAATTGAAAAAATGTATTCATTATGCCCATACTTTATTAATTTTGAGAATTTTCAATATAAAGATTCATATAATTGGGCAAGAGGAAAAGAATAATTTTGTTTTGTTTGATACATGTATTGTTAAAGAATTTATGGCTTAAAAAGACCAAGAGATATAAAGATTGTTGGACTATTTGTATACCCCATATGCAAGGATTAAGGGGAGACAGTGTTTATTCCATTGCTTATATGTAATCCTTGCACATGTATAATCCAAGCTGCAATATTTCATTAAAGAAGGTCAATTTCCGCCAAAGTAATAAGATTTTGGGGGAAAGGACCCAAGGAAATAAATTCATTACAACCTCTATTATCCCAACGAGCTACGTTATGGGCTGGAGTATTACCCGCACGCTTGACATGAGATAAATAAAAAACATCAAAA